CCTAAATAATTTAGCTAGCACTCTTAAAGCTTTGTCTTTGACATTCTATCTGTTTCCTGTACTTGCGGTCATGAGGAAGAGAATTGTTTTGATCATGTGGGGAAGCAAACTCAACTGGTCTCTGGTATATGTTCAGCCATTCAGAGAGTGAGCTACATTTTCTTGATGTAGGAGTTAGAGAATCTGCACAAAATGTCACAGAGGCTGACAGTAGTTGGCTTCCAGTTGCTGCTGGGAAAGTGCAGTTGAGACTGGTATGGATTCTGGAGGTTGGTTTCCAGTGAATAGTTTGAAATATTTGGTGAGACGACATTACAGTGGATCCTACCAGATACAATCAGGTAAATGGAGAGAGTATGCCTTTTCATTATACATTCTGAACTGTGATATTTTCCTCACTGCTCAAAACTGAGATGTATTATCTTAATATTGTTTTTGCCAAAATTATGCCTTAGGCAATTTTTAAACAGAAATCCCCAAGTTTAAAAGTACATATTAGTGAAAAAACTGCTGAATGCAGTTGTATGATACTCCTCTATTTGCTAGCCTAGAATTGTTCTGGTAAAGTTGCCAGTATTTTAATACGTTGTGATACAATACTGGTTGACAGTGTTTAACAGCAGCATAGACAGATTAGTTAGAAGTTAGTATAGCAGCCAAATTCTCAACTCTGCTCAGTTGATAAATACATTGCCCATGTGAATCTACATTCAGACCAAGAACATTTGAAAGTAAGTAGTCTACTGACATTTACTGACACAATGTGGTGTTAATGACAGACTCAATGTTTTCAGCGAGGACAGGGAACAGTAAATATCTTGTCACTTTTACACTTGTGTACTTAGTGTAGTGGATTTTGTTTGTTATTTACAAAGTGCGTGCAACAGGGAACCAAGATGAATTGAACCCAAGTTTATGTATTACTTTGAAGCATTATTTTGCATCAGTTTATGTTATAAAGCTACAAGTTATATTCCAAAAGCAGCAATAAATCAAGAAATGGAAGGGAAGGAGGAACTCAGGAAATTATAGTCAACAGAGAAGTGGTCCTGAATAAATTGTTGGGTCCGTGGGCTGACAAGGGAAGGCCATTCAGGAGAAATGTTAGAAAGCACTTTTACACGCAAAGAATATTGGAGGTTTGGAGTTTTTCCTCAAAAGATGGCCAATGCTAATCAATTGTTAAGTTTAAATCTGAGCTAGACAAAGTTTTATTTAGCAAGAGTATCAAGGGATATGACTCCAAGCGTGGCATATGGAGTTAGAGCACAGATCAGCTGTAGCGGAGCAGGCTGAAAAGGACTGAATGGCTTACTCCTGTTCCCATGTTCCTAAGTATCAGGTCCGGATGGACTTCAGCCCAAGATCTTTAAAGAAGTGGCTAGCGACATACTTATACATTAATTTTAATTTTTCAAAAGTCCCTAAATCTGGGAACATCCCTTGATGTTGGAAGGTAAGAAATGTAACTCCTTTATTCGAAAAAGGAGAGAGATGGAAAACAGGAAACTACTAGCCAGTTAGCTTAATATGTCAAGGAGAAAATGTTAGAAGCTGTTATTTAATAAGTTATTGCACTTAGATAAGTTCAAAGTAATCAGGCAGAGTCAACATTTATTCTGTGAAAAGGGAATCATGTTAAACCATCTATCGGAGTTCTTTGACAAAATAACGTGCTATGGACAAAGGGGAAAAGTAGATGTTATATGCTTAGATTTCTAGAAGGCATATTAGCATTTACAGGCGATTGGCTGGCTAACAGGAAGCAGCCAGTATACATAAATGGATCTTTTTCAGTTTGGCAGCATGAGAGGTGTACCACAGGGGTCAGTGATGGGACCTCACCTGTTCATAATCTACATAAATGGCTTGGATGATGGTATGCTCAATAAATTTGCTGATGACACAAAGAAAGATAGGAAAGTAAGTTGTTAAGAGAATATAAAAAGGCTGCAAAAATATACACAGAAGTTGCTGGAAGAGCTCAGCAGGTCTTACCGTACCTGCATTCTATCCTAATAAAAACTGAAAGAACTGCGGATGCTGTAAATCAGGAACAAAAACAAAGTTGCTGGAAAAGCTCAGCAGGTCTAGCATCATCTGTGAAGAAAAAATGAGAGTTAATGTTTTGGGTCCAGTGACTCTTCCTCAGAACTGAGAAAATTGGACCCGAAACGTTAACTCTCATTTTTCTTGACAGACGCTGCCAGACCTGCTCAGCTTTTCCAGGTATGGCAAGTAATGAGCAAAGCTAATAGAATGTTATTGTTTACCATGAGGGGATTTGAGTACAAAAGTAGAAAGGCTGTGCTTCTCACCAGGGCACTGGTGAGACCACGTCTGGAGTATTGTTTACAGTATTATTCACCTTATTTAAGGAAATATGTAAATATGTTGGAAACAGTTCAGAGGAGGTTTATCTGACTTAATCCTGGATTGGGCAGTTTGTCTTATGAGGAAAGGTTAGACATACTTGGCTTCTAACTGCTGGATTTCAGAATGTAAGAGCTAAATTGAATGAAACATATAAAGTTCTCAGGCAGAGATAGTAGGAACAGCCAATGCTGGAGTCAGAAGAAGGGTCCAGACCTGAAACGTCAGCTTTCCTGCTCCTCTGATGCTGCCTGGCCTGCTGTGTTCCTCCAGCTCCACACCTTGTTATCTAAAGTTCCCACGCACCTTGATAGGATAGATATGGAGAGACCTTTTCCTGTTATGGGATAATCTAAAACTAGGGGTCACTGTGGTTGCCCATTTAAGAGATGAGGTGATTTCTTTTTCTCACAGGGAGTCATGAATCTTAGAAAATCTCTTAGGCAGTGGAAGCCAAATCTTTGACTATTTTTAAGGCAGAGTTGGATGGATTCTTGTTAAGCAAGGAAGTGAAAGGCTATTAGTGTAGGAAGGAATGTGAATTTGGAGTTACAGTCATGATCTCATTAACTGGTGGAGTAGATATTTTCTAACTAACTTGTTCAGAGATATTATCAGACACCTCTGGCACAGGTAGCTCTTGAACTCGTGTCTCCTAGCTCAAAGGTATGGACACTACCACTGCACCACAAGAACTTATTAACTAGGGGAACAGACCTGCGAGGCTAATGGTCTACACCTGCTCCCTGTTCATATGTTCGTAAGATGAGATCATTTCTGAATTGGTACTTATAGGGAGAAGATGAGAGATTAGGTGTATAAACTGTTTTCTTTTATAAAATATATTCACTAATAGCTGGTGTATTAAAGTAGTTCAAAACCATGAGGATTTGTTTTGGTTTGATATATGTCGTTTGAAGCTATTTGATATACATAGACTTAAGATGATTTTTTACAAAAATTTGAGATACACTAATGCATCATTTATTGATGCAGGTCATGTTTTGCCTTTTTGGTAGTTAATGCACCTTTTTTCTTCTTTTATTCTAGTATTATGTCTCAGTCAATCCTATCCAGAAAAGTCCGTGAATTAAGCAAAAGTAATAAATTAAAGGCAAGATTAGAGTTCTGTAGTCATTTAGGAAAAAAATAAAAGTGAGAAAAGGTACATTCTAGAGGTGAAAATTAACTTTTTTTAATTCAGTCTCAGGACGTGTATGTCACTGGCTGGCCAGCATTTATGCCCCTACCTAGTTGCCCTTCTGAAGTTGGTCGCGAGCTGCCTTCTTGAACCGCTACAGTTCATGTGCTGTAGATAGATCCACACTGCCATTAGGGAAGGAAAATGGAATATATACAGGGAACATAATTGTTTTATTGGAAAAAGAAATTGTTGTCATCAGAAATGGAGATTAATTTTGCAAGCTGAATTCCTAGGTCAGGAGCATTTGCTTTCTGGTCAGAGATTTATCTTTGGACCTTGACCATAATGACTGAACTAAAAGTACTTGATTAGCTGTAAAACATTTTAGAATTCCTTGAGATCATGAAAAGTGCTGTATAAATGTAGGATTTTTCTTAACATGACAATTCTCATTGCTAGTAAATTAAATCTCAAGCCTGGAAAAAAAGTTAATCAGCAGTTTTTGGCTTCACAGTTTTTTGGACTATGTTTTCACCTAAAGACTTGGGCATAAGCTTGGTGGAGGTAACCTTTTTGTAAAAGCAAAACTAGAGGCATAGGATTAAGGTGAGAGAGGAAAGATTTAAAAGGGACCTAGGAGCAACTTTTTCACACAGAGGGTGGTGCATGTACAGAATGAGCAACCATAGGAAGTGGTAGAGGCGGTTACAGTTATAACATTTAAAAGACATTTGGGCAGGAACGTGAAAGGTTTAGAAGGATAAGGACCAAATACAGGTAAATAGGATACCATTTGACAGAAATAGGATTTATATAAATCCTATAAACTTAGGATTACGTTTTGGATACCTGGTTGGCATGGATGAGTTGGACCAAAGAGTCTGTTTTCGTGCTGTGTGACGATGACTCTATAAAAGGATCTAGCTTCTCAAACAGCTTAATGCTGAGCTGTGAATCAATAGGTAGATAAGCAAATGGTAGTTATAACTTGAGGTGGAAGAATGTTTCTCAAAGTTTAGAGAATGGATAATTCATAATAGTCATAGTCCTAGAGATCTACAGCACAGCTTCTTCCTTAATGCCGTGTGTATTTTCCAGTTATTTATTTCACTTTCTGGAAAATTATAATTAATAGTGGAAAAAATGGTGGATTTTACTTAACAAGCTTCTGTGAGAATACATCAATGTGTTTGAATTTTTAACCTACTTGATATCATCACTGTTACTAGGTGTATGGAGATCCTTGTTTCGATGCTAGGTTTAAATTGACATCTGAAAAGGGGTTACTACAGCATTGAGATTTCTCAGTTTTGTGGAATCTTTTATCAAGGTCAATGACTATGCAAATAATCATGAAATCCAGTCTTTATGATTCTGTTATTTTCAGTGTTTATGATAACACTGGTTTTGATTTATTGCAGGTTCCAGTGCAGTACAGTACAAATCTGTGTGTGAGATACATGATTATTATCTTGTTTGGCAGAGTTAAACAGTGCAGACCTGAAGAACTACAACAGTGAGAACAGCATTAACAGCAATGCCAGTCTTCCCAGTGTCCAGAGCTGCAGAAAACATGTGGAACGGCAGGTAGCTAGTTGGGCTGTTTGCTTTGAACGTCTCCTGCAAGACCCAGTTGGCATCAGATACTTCTCGGTAAGTATGCCCTCCTAACTGCAATATAACTCTGAAAAGAAATGTAGTACCTTTTAGAAGGTGAGTGATGTGGCAAATGTCTGAACTAATTCTCTGTATACCATATCATTGGACATCTTCTGCCTTGCTTGTTCAGGAGATGATTCAACATTTTTTTTCAAGGAAAGAATCGGCAAGAGAAATAGGTGGAATTAGATGCCTTATAAAGTGGCTCTTTTTTTACATTGTAAGTCTTGAATGGGTACGTTTTTAATACTTTAATGAGTGTTTGGTCCATATTTTATGTTTAAAGATTTTTGTTTCTGATTTTACATGTGCCACTCTTAAGCTTTCACGAGAGCTAGTCTCCAATTTTGATTTTGTAATTTACTTCTTTTCCAGGATTTAATTGTTCCGTGGGATAACTGCAGATAGTTATTTGAAATTCAGTAGTATAGAAGAGCAGTAAATTAACTTTGTAAATTCACTTTCAGATTATATTGGTACTTTCTTCACCCACATTTGAAGTGTAGATTTTTTTTTACAGGAACTACTAAGGTTTTCCCAAAAAATGAACAAATGTTCTCAAAGTTTTCATAAACAGTGTGAAAGACCTCAGACTAGCTTCCTAGTTAAACCAAACTAGCTGAACTCTGATGACAAAATAATAGGTGAATTACTATTACCTATTGATTTGAGTTAGGAAGGGGATCCTTGCCTCTTCTAATCATTATCCAGTGATATGCAAGAAAATTTGATTATGTTGTGCTTGGCAAAGAACGGGCTTAAATTTAGCTGTGAATGCTGTTAAGATTAAAAAGTGAACAATGACCATTATCTGACATATTGTACAGTTCATGGAGCCTAAGTTGTTCAGTGTCAGAACATTAGTGAAGAAGTGTTAAAGGAACTTAAAAATATCTGGGTGTAGGAGCTGAGGAAATGGTCAAAGAATCTCATTGTTGGTGATCAACACCTTAGAGCTAGAGAGATCCCACAGTATCAGACCATCACTGTGAACAGTAGTGTTTAACTTGCACAGTGATGTTTAGTGAGGACAGGAAATGAGAGATGTTGGAATAAAGTCACCATGCTGAGTTTTGGGCATAATTTGGAGTCACTGATTATGATTGATTACCTAGGATAGAGGGCAGGACGTGACAAAAATAAAGTTGCTGGAAAAGCTCAGCAGGTCTGACAGCATCCGTGAAGGAGAAAACAGAGTTAACGTTTCGGGCCCGGTGACCCTTCCTCAGAACTGATAGTGGCTGGGAAAACGTCGGTTTATATGCAGAAAATAGGGAGTTATAAGAATTTGTTAAGTAAGTTATCAGGTGACCCGAGAAGATGAGGGCAAGATGATGCATTTACCTCTTAAGCCTTTTGGAGGAGCTTGAGTCAGCATTAGAACAAAGAAACTTCAAGTTTTACATTTCTAAAATCTTCTTTGTCAATTGTAATTTCCATTAGCAACTTTCTTCCTCCTGTTTCATTTTGTCTTTTGCTTTCTGTGCTAATTCTTGTGGGCATATTAATCAGTGTAGAATACGACAGAAGTTACCAAATCATAATGTTGTAGGACTATGAACTACACTGTAAATTCAACTGGTTATGCACAAGTGTGAAAAGAAATTTGTGGTTCAGCAGTTGAGTCATACCAGCATGGAAACAGACCTTCAGTCCAACTCATCCATGCTGACCAGACATCCCAATCTGACCTAGTGCCATTTGCCAGCATTTGGCCCATAATCCCTCTAAACCCTTCCTATCCATATACCCATCCAGGTGCCTTTTAAATGTTACAATTTTACCTCTGGCAGCTCGTTCCATACACACAGCTCCCTCCTTCCCCAGTATTGGTACCAATGTCCCATGAATTCGAACCTGTTTCTCCAACACCAATCTTTAAGCCATGCCTCTTTAATCTTTTGATGCTGTGTCAATTAGCTGTGGCTCAGGTAGTATACATTTTTGATTCTGCTTTTTAATTTAGCCCCTAGCTGCTCATATTCCCTCAGCAGAACCTCTTTCCTCTTTCTAAGTATTTCGTTGTTACCTACGCAGGCCACAACAACTGGATCTTGGCTCTCCCACTCCCAGTTGCTCTACAGGCCAGATGAAATATCCTGACCCTAAGCAGTACCATAGCCTTTGGGACTATTAATCCTGGCAACAGAGAACAGTGTCTATTCCCCTGACTATTGTATTTTCTCCCCCCATCTTGAATGGCTCCCTATACCATGGTGCTATGTTCAGTTTGCTCGTCCTCCCTCCAGTCCCTACTCTTGTCCACATAGGAAACAAGAATCTCAAACCAGTTAGACAAGCATAACGGCTGAGGCTCCTTTAGCACTACCCCCGGAATCCCTCCACCTGCCTCACTCATAGTCACACTCTTCTATCCCTGACCACTGACCCATTTTGAGGTAGTTAATTTAAGGGGTATCTCTGTGTCCTGAAACACAGCTTCCGGGTAACTGCCCCTTTCCCAGATGTGTTGCATGTTCAAAGCTCAGACTCCAACTCAACAACTTTGAGCTGGAGTTCCAGGAGCAACCAACACTTGTTGCAGATGTGGCCACTGTGAACCGCAATGGGGTCTACCAGTTCCCACATCATGCAGGTATAATACATCACCTGGTCCTGCGTCTCTGTTGTATTTACTTAGTTCTTAATTTTGGTCGTTTAGTTTGGAATCTCAAAATATTTTTCCTATTTACCTTCAATCAGAAACTGATTTATACTAGATAGTCACATTTGCACATACTACCACCCTGTGAATTTTATGGTTTTCCTGTGATGTCACTCTTTGTTCTGTGCCGGCCTTTTGATTCTGGCTTCAATTTATCCTGTTAAAAAAAATCCTACAAAGCTATCAGCCAAAAAAGCAAGGGAAAAAGCATCTCTTTCTCTCTGGACCAAATTCTCACACTGCCTCCAAAGTCAGAGTCAGCACGGAAACAGACCCCTCAATCCAAGTAGTCCAGGCTGACCAGACATCCCCATCTGATGTAGTCCCATTTGCTGGTATTTGACCCATATCCCTCTAAACACTTCCTATTCACATGCCCATCCAGGTGCCTTTTAAATGTAATTGTACCTGTCTCCACCACTTCCTCTGGCAGCTTGTTCCATAGATGCATCACCCTCTACATGAAAATTGGGGAGGCGATGGCCTAGTGGTATTATCGCTGGACTGTTAATCCAGAGACCAAGATAATGTTCTGGAGACCCGGGTTCGAATCCTGCCATGGTAGGTGGTGGAATTTGAGTTCAATAAATAGCTGGAATTAAGAATCTAATGACCATGAATCCATTGCCAATTGTCAGAAGAAAAACCCTTCTAAGTGTCTTTTAGGGAAGGAAACTGCCACGCTTATCTGGTCTGGCCTACATGTGACTCCAGACCCACAGCAATGTGGTTGCCTCTTAACTGCCCTCTGGGCAATTAAGGATGGGCAGTAAATTCTGCCTGGCCAGCGACTCTCTCATCCTGTGAATGAATAAAAAAAAGTTACCTCTCAGGCCCTTTTAAAATCTTGAACAAAAACAGAAGTTGCTGAAAAAGCTCAGCAGGTCTGGCAGCATCTGTGAAGAAAAAAATTTCAGGTCCGGTGACCCTTCCTCAGAACTGATGGTAGCTGGAAAAACGTCACTTTATATGCAGAAAATAGGGAGGCGGTGGGGTAGGGAGTAAACGATCGGATAGAACCTAGAGAGAGAAGAACAGTTGGACAGACCAATGAGTTGATAATGATCTGGTTGGGAGGGTGAGTAGTTGTTAATGGGGACTGTTAGTGACTACCAACAGGGGGAGTGTAATGGCAGGCTATGTGATAACAAGGCCTGGTATGTGGGGTAGGGGTCTGGGACATGGGGAGAGTTTAGGCCCTAAAATTATTGAACTAGATATTGAATCCGGAGCGCTGCAGGGTCCCCAAGCAGAAAATGAGGTGTTGTTCCTCCAGCTTGTGTTGAGCTTGGGTGGAACGTTGCAGAACGCCAGAGACAGAGACCTTTTAAAATCTTTCCCATCTCACCTTAGACCTATGACTTCTAGTTTTGGATTCCCTCACTCTAGGGAAAAGATCTTGGCTATTCACCCTATCCATGTCCCTCATGGTTTTATAAACCTCTATATGGCCACCCTCAGTCTCCGATGCTCCAGGGATATGAGCCCCAGCCTATTCAGCCTCTCTCTATAACTTGAGTCCTCCAGTCCCAGCAACATCCTTGTAAATTTGTTCTGACCCTATCAAGTTTAACATCATCTTTCCTATAGTGGGAGACCAGATAAGTCCCCGAACTCTATACTCACTCCGGCTGTGTCTTGCTGCAGATCTGATCTCTCCTTTCTGACCGTGTGAAGGAATTGTAGGATCTTGTTCAAAAGAATGCTTTTGTAGGTCATGATACTCTTTACCTGCTTGCATACTTCTAACATCACATCACTTTTCCTGATTATAAAGCTCAAATGTCTCCACCCTTTCCTCATAGCTTAGATTTCTAGTACAATACTGCGGAATCAATCTCTTAGTTTTTCTCTGCATTCATTGCTTAAGTACTATTGTGTCTTAGTGACCGAACCTGAACATATTTCAAGATGCAGCCTGACCTGAAAATTGTATAGCTTATTATAACCTGTTCTGTTTCATCATACATTTTGATGATATGATTCAAAGTTATAGGCTTTTTGATTGTTGCTCTACTTAGGACAGTTTGCATCTGCTAAGAATTTTAAGTGTTTCTCCACTTCATCCATAGCCATTTCAACACCATTCATTGGATATGGTTGTTGTCTATTTATTTTTTCGCGCAAGACACAGCATTTGATGAGATGTGGAGAAATTTCTTCAGCCAGAGAGTGGTGAAGCTGTGAAACTCATTGCCACAGAAGGCCATGGAGGCCAAGTCATTCAGGGTCTTTAAGACAGAGATAGATAGGTTCTTGATTAGTACAGAGATCAAAGGTTACAGGGAGAAGGCAGAAAAATGGCGTTGAGAAACATATGAGCCATAATCAAATGGCAGAGCAGGCTCAATGGACCAAATGCCCTAATTATGTGTTTAGTTACTTGCAATCTTGGCATAAGCAAGTCTATTTGCTGCATTGGTGGACTCAAATAAAAATGTTGGGGAGGAGGAAGAGTGGAGGGAGCTTTGAGACAGTCACCGTCTTACTTTCAGAATGACCTATTCAAGTAAAGAAATAACTCTCAAATGGTCTCAGCAGATGGGCAGTGGCACATCTTAGTAACCTATCTTTACGTTGTTTTGAGAAACTGTGGCAGTTTTGATTCCACATATCAAGTCAGATTACTCTCAGTAACCATCTTTGCAGCATGTTATTGTCCATTTTCAAAAGAAAAGTAATTTCCAGAAAATTCCACACTGAGTAAAGTTCATATTTTAAAAGCTATGAATAGGACATGTTTTTTACCTGGCTTGACAGGTTTCCTTGAAAAAAGGTGCATGTGTCATGCATGACAGCAAGGCATTGAATTTTCTCAAGATTTCTTTGCCTGTTATTTGCTCTTCAAGTTATGGATCTTTCTCGATTATGCCTTCATAATCAAACTGTGACTTTTTGACACATATACAAAAATATCACTGCCTTAGTCAAGTTGATGCATTTAATATATGTATATAACTTGTCTTCACCTAACTATACTTTCATTAGAATTGAGTATCACAGTAGGCAAGATAAATAGAACTGCATCTGTCTTGGGTCAGTTATATAGTAGCTTATTAAGTGTATTTTGTTTTTTTATGTTGTCAGGAGTTCCTTAAGAAAGAATTCAGTGAAGAAAATATTTTGTTCTGGCAGAACTGTGAGTACTTCAGTCAAATCCCTAAGAATGACAAGAAACAGGTGAGAAATAAGTTAAAAGAGTTCGAAATTTTTTTTGTGACTCTGTTCTTGCCCCTGCACTTCCTCTCCTTTAGGTTTTGCCTCTTTGTAAGGATACAGTTGGCACAAAATGAACATAAAGACTTTAATAATGCCATCACAATGATATAATACATACAAGAACAAAATTAAACATATCCTTTTTGTCGCACTCTCATGACTTAATATCAACAGTGCAGTTAGTAACTCCTCTTTACCATTTAATCAAAACCTGCTATCATTTCCTTTCTGTCTCCACAGATGGTGCCTGACCAACTGAGTACTTCCAACACTTACTGTTTTATTTCAAATTTGTAATGTTCACAGTACTTAGATATTCCAATATAAATGCTGCTTTGTAGATATCTACAATATGATGTTGCAAGAACCGTCAAAGGGAAAGACAATGAAGAAGAGGAGTGTGTGGAGGAAAGGCATCTCGGAGACAGTCAAAGCTTTGAGGGAGTACAGTGATCCTCTCTCTACGTCTCATTCCTAGAGCTAAGATTTAATTAACTCATGGCACATTTTTTAAAAGAAATGCTACCAAGTACATCTGTAATCTGTTTCACAACTATGAGGAAACCCATTGCAACATGTCAGTTTTCAATAAACCCAAAATCTTAACCCAAAATGGAAACTGAAAATGCTGAAAATACTCAGCAGGCCGGGCAGCATCTGTGGAATTAACATTTCAGGTTGACAAGGGAAAAGAATCAGAGATGACGAGTAAGGAAATGCATTTCACACAGCAAGAGATTGGGATCTGGAATGTAGTGTTCATGAGAGTGATTTATAGATTCAAATGTAGATTTTAAAAGGGAATTAGATTAAAAAAGGAGAAAAATTGAAAGATATGGAGAAGGAGCAGCGTAGTGAGACTAACTAGATTGCTCTTTAAAGGAGTCTGTGCAGACTCAGTGGCATGAATACCCTTATTCTGCACAGATTAGTGTTTTATTGTAGGCAAATGTTTCTAGATTTTGTTGCAAAATCCAGTTTTTGAACGCTCAACTTGAAGTAATGCAGAAAAATGTGTTGTGATGAGGCTGCACAAAAAAAATCTCAAAAAGAAACAAAACATGTAGGAAATGTTCAGCAGGTCCAGTACCTCAGCATCTATGGAGTTTTAGGTCAAGATGACTTGCAGAAGGATACCCCGTAGCATACTAGTAATGTCATTGGGTTAGTAATCCTTTTGCTTGGAGATATGAATTTAAATCCTACCACAGCAGCTGGGGGAGTTTGAATTTAATAAATTTGAATTAAAATGCTGGCCTCATTAGTGACAACTATGAAACTAGCAAATTGATGGAAAACCTAAAAATAAACAAATGTAAGGTGGAGCATTTTATCGTCTTACATAGATTCTTGATCAGTAGGGAATCAAGAGTTACAGGAAAAACAAGGAAAATGGACGTGAGGAATGTCAGATCAGCCATGAAGAACAGAAGTGAATGTCAGTGATAGGGTTATGATTGGAAGATTTTAAGTCTCATTGCCTTGTTCCATTAAAAATGAATCCCAAAGGTATGTATCTGCAACATTTGATTAAATATTTTGTTATTTATGAAATAGTGAATCTGTCTACCTGGTAACCTGTTTGTGATACAATCTTCCTCACTTTGCTTGTGTACTTATTTCTTTTAAATATCCATATGTTAATCACAGTAGATGTTTGATAATTAACCCGAACTTGGTAAAACACAACTTATATCTTCTTCTTTGTGATTCCATTGTTTTACAGCTTCTGTATAGAGCTCGGGAAATCTACAACAACTTTTTATCCAACAAGGCAAATACTCCTGTCAATATCGATAGCCAGGCACAGTTAGCTGATGATATTATTAATGCACCACACCCAGATATGTTTAAAGAACAACAACTGCAGGTATAGTAAAATAAACAAAGTGTTTGTCTATTTACATATTCTGCTGATAAACTCTTTTCACACTAATTCCTCACTCAAAAACCATTAAATTGCAGTGACATATTTTGTAGAACTAATGATACTGTCAAATAGGCCTAATCGCAGAAAACATTTTAGCCTGCAAAGAAATTGTCAGTCATCATAGTTGGTGACTTCGCATAATGAAGTCAATGTATGCATTTGTTTTTCAGCTGTATTTTTTCACAAGTATCTAGTGTTAAGTAGCATATGCATAATGTAATGTTATCCATTTCTTTTGATTTGAAAATAACTATTTTAGAAAAAAATGTCTACAGTATTTCTTTCCTCCAAAGTAGATTTTTAACCTGATGAAGTTTGACAGCTACACTCGCTTTCTGAAATCAACACTGTACCAAGAATGCATGTTGGCAGAAGTGGAAGGTCGCTCCCTACCTGATCCTTGTCAGGTACCATGCAGTCCTGCATCAAGGCACAGCACCACTTCAGACCAATCTACCCCAAACAAAGTAGGTATTTAACATTTCAATTTTTAAAATTTAACTTCTTAATACCATGGGATGGATGAGGGGTAAGAATAACAATGAGCATTTTCAACTCCTGAGCATTATCCCGAGTCCTGTGCAGAATGTAAGTGAGGACAGGATTGGGCTCATAACCTGACATTAATCACTTCCCACACACACATGACATATTTGGACTTGGTTGAGGTATTTTGGGGCATCAGTGGAACTGCAGCCTAGCACGTTGTGATTGCCTCCAGAGATGAGGAAAACAGGGAGGGGAGATAGGGTTGAAAAACAATGAATCAAAACAAAATGCATCTTCCAAAGATTATTTTTAACATTTGTGGGATGTGGACATTGCAGACTGACCTGCACGTTATTGCCTATCCCTAGTTGCCCTTGAGAAGGTGGTGGTGAGCTGCCTTCTTGAACCGCTGCAGTCCACCTGCTAAAGGTTGACCCACAATGCCATTAGGGAGGGAATTCCAGGATTCTGACCCAGAGACAGTGAAGGAATGACGATATATTTCCAAGTCAGAATGGTGAGTGGCTTGGGGGGGACCTTGCTGGTGTTGGTGTTCCTATGTATCTGCTGCCTTTGTCCTTCTAGATTGAAGTGCATTTGGAAGGTGCTGTCTGAGGATCTTTGGTGATTTTCTTCAGTGCATCTTGTAGATAGTACACACTGCTGCTACTGAGTGTCGGTAGAGGATGGAGTAGATGCTTGTGGGTGTGGTGCCAATCAAGTGGGCTGCTTTGCCATGGATGATGTCAAGCTTCTTGAATGTTGTTGCAGCTGCCCCCACCCAGGCAAGTGGGGAATATTCCATGTCATGTAGGTGGTGGACAGACTTTGGGGAGTCAGGAGGTGAGTTACTCACCACAATATTCCTAGTCTCTGACCTGCTGTTATAGCCACTTTGACGAGTCCAGTGATTTTCTGGTCAATGGTAACGCTAAGAATAGAATAGAATAGAATATCTTTTAGTGTCAGATGCACTCCAATGAGTGCAGTGAAATGTTTGTAATGTTGCCTCTCGGCGCCATCTTACATACTGGGTACGTAAGTACAGATACTTTAGGTGTTGTCACAGAATTGAATTAGTAAAAAAAATTAGCATGGGAATGTAGAATTTAAGAAGTCCAGAATAAGAATAAAAAGTGTCTTTAAGTACTCAAACTATGGTCCTTTTCCAAATGAGTCTGTGTCTGCTGGGCTTCAGAACATAAGGCCATGCTGCCTCCAGGCGCTGCCCTTTGTCCAGGACTCGTCCTGCTCACAGCTCCGGGACTCGGCCCCCGACTGGCTCTGCTCCCCACTCTGGGACTTAGCCCCCGACTCGTTCTGCTCCCTGCTCTGGGACTCAGCCCCCGACTCGCTTTGCTCCCCACTCCGTGACTCGGCCCCTGACTCGCTCTGCTCTCTCACTCCGGGCCTCGGCCTCCGACTCGCTTTGCTCCCTGCTCCGGTACTTGGCCCCCGACTCGCTTTGCTCCCTGCTCCGGTACTCGGTCCCCGACTTGCTCTGCTCCTTGCTCCGAGACTCGGCTGGTGCTCGCTCTGCTCCCTCACTCTGGGACTCGGCCACCGACTCGCTTTGCTCCCCGCTCCAGGACTCGGCCTATGACTCGCTCTGCTCCCTGCTCCGGAACTCGGCCCATGACTCGCTCTGCTCCTTGCTCCGTTACTCGGCCCATGACTCGCTCTGCTCCTTGCTCCGGAGCTCGGCCCATGACTCGCTCTGCTCCTTGCTCCGGA